GCATGTCAAAAAGATCACACACCACGATCAAGTGAGACTTATCTCAGGGATGCAAGGATAGTTCAACATACACAAATCAATAAGTGTCATACACCACATAAACAGAATTAAGGACAAAAACCAGATGATCATCCCAACCGATGAAGAAAAAGCATTTGACAAAATTCATCTTTCATTCATGACAAAACTCCTCAACAAACCAGACACAGAAGGAACATCCCTCAACATAATAAAGGCCATGTATGACAAATCCACAGCCAACATAATACTGAATTGGGGAAAGGTTGAAAAGATTCCCTCTAAGAATTGGAACAAGATAAGGATACCCACTTTCACCACTCTTATTCAATATAGTACTGCAAGTCCTAGCCAGAAAAATCAGGCAAGAGAAAAAAACAAAAGGCATCCAAATTGGAAAAGAAGTAGTCAAATTATCATGGTTGGCTAATGATATGATCTTGTATACAGAAAACCCTCAAGACTCCAACAAAAATCTCTTAGATTGATAAATTAAGTAAAGCTTCAAGATACAATATCAATGTACAAAAATCAGTAGTGTTTCTATACACCAATAAAAAGCTAGCTGAGGATCAAGAATGCAATCCCATTCACAACAGCTGCAAAAATAAAATAAAATACCTAGGAATATACTTAACTAACAAGGTGAAAGATCTCTGCAAGGAAAACTACAAAGGACGGATGAAAGAAATTGCAAACAACATTAAAAAAATGGAAAAACATCTCATGCTGGTGGATCAGAAGAATTAATATTATTAAAATGAACATACCACCCAAAGTACAGGTTCGATGAAAACCTTATCAAATTACTGATGTCATTCTTCACAGAATTAGAAGAAAACAATGATAAAGTTCATATGGAACCAAAAAAGAGGCCAAATTGCCGAAGCAATTCTAATCAAAAAGAACAATGGTGGAGGTACACATTGCCTCACTTCAAAACATATTACAAGGCAACCAAAATAGTATGGTAGTAGTATAAAAATGGAGACACAGATAAATGGAACAAAACAGAGAAACGAGAAATAAAGTCACATACTTACAGCCAACTGATCTATGACAAAGATGGCAAGAACACTACACTGGGGAAAAGACAAACTTTTCAATTAATGGTGCTGGGAAAACTGGATTGCCACATGCAGAAGAGTGAAACTGGACTCTATATGTCACCATATATGAAAATAAACTTAAGATGGATTAAACATTTAAATGCAAGACCCAAAACTATAAAAATACTAGAAGAAAACCTAGGAAAAACTCTTTTAGATATTGGTTTAGGCAAACAATTCATGACTGTAGGGGTGGCCTGCCCCTCCACACCTGCGGGCGTTTCTCGTTAGGTGGAATGAGAGACGTGAGAAAAGAAATAAGACACAAAGTATAGAGAAAGAAAAAGTGGGCCCAGGGGACCGGCGCTCAGCATGCAGAGGATCCATGCCAGCACCGGTCTCTGAGTTCCCTCAGTATTTACTGATCATTATCTTTACCATCTTAGAAAAAGGGAAGTGACAGGATAATAGGATCAATCGTAGGGAGAAGGTCAGCAGTAAGACAGGCGAGTAAAGATCTCTGTGACAGAAGTTTAAGGAAAAATGCTGTGCCTTGATATGCATATGTAAACATCTCCATAAACCTTTTTAGTGCATAAAGAGCAGCATGACGCTAGCAAGTCCCGCCTTTCGCCCTAAGGCAGTTTTTCCTTTCTCAGTAAACGGAACAGACAATCGGGTTTTACACCGAGATGTTGTTCCATTGCCCAGGGATGGGCAGGAGACAGATGCTTTTCTCTATCTCAATTGCCAAGAGGCTTCTTTCCTCTTACACTAGTCCTCCTCAGCACAGACCCTTCACGGGTGTCAGGCTGGGGGACGATCAGATCTTTCCCTTCCCACGAGGCCATATTTCAGACTATCACATGGGGAGAAACCTTGGACAATACTTAGCTTTCCTAGGCAGAGGTACCTGCGACCTTTGGCAGTGTACGCGTCCGAGTACTTGAGATTAAGAGAATGGTGATGACTTTTAACCAGCAAGCTGCCTTCAGGCACTTGTTTAACAAAGCACACCCTGCACAGCCCAAAATCCGTTAAACCTTGAGTCACCACAGCAAATGTCTCTTGCAAGGACAAGGTTGGGGGTAGGGTCACAGATTAACAGCATCTCAAATACAGAACAAAATGGAGTCTCTTATGTCTACTTCTTTCTATATAGACACAGTAACAGTCTGATCTTTCTTTTCTTTTCCCCACAATGACTAAGACCTCAAAAGTGCAGGCAATAAAAACACAAATAGACAAATGGAACTTAATTAAATTAAAAAGCTTCTGTGCTACAAAAGAAATAATCAGAATGAACAATCTCTGGAATGAGAGAAAATATTTGCAAACTATGCATTCAACAGGGGACTAATATCCAGATTTTACAAGAGACTCAACCAAAAAACCCCAAATAATCCCATTAAAAAGTAGGCTAAGGACATGAATAGACATTTTTCAAAAGAAGATAAACAGCCAACGAGCACATGAGAAAATTTTCAATATAACTAATCATCAGTAAAATGCAGATTAAACTACAATGAAATATCACCTTACACCAATCAGAATGGGTACTAAAAAAACAAAAACATGACATTGGGGTGCAAAGAAAAAGGAACTCTTTTACGCTGTTGGCGAGAACACACATTACTACAACCTCTATGGAAAATAGTACAGTGAGTTCTCAAAGAACTAAAAGTAGAACTACCATTTGATCCAGCAATCCCACTACTGGGTATCTACCCAAAGGAAAAGAAATCATTAAATAAAAAAGAGACCTGCACTCATATGTATACCACAGTGGTATTCAAAATCACAAAGATATGGAATCAACCAAAGTGTACATCAATGGAGGACTGGATTTAAAAAGTCATATAGATACACAATACTATTTAGACATTAAAAAGAATGAAATTGTCTTTCACAGCAACATGGATAGAAATGGAGACCTTTATCTTAAATGAAACAACTGAGACACAAAGAGAAATACTGCATGTTCTCACTCAAAAATGTAAGCTAAATAATGAGTACACATGGAAGCAGAGTGTAGAAAGATGGACAATGGAAACTTGGAGGGGTAGGGGATTAGCAGTGGAGTGGATGATGGGAGGTTGCTTGGTGGGTACAAGCTGCATTGCTCCAGGGACAGATGCACTGAAGGCACTTACTTCACCACAATGCTATATATCAATGTAGCAAAACTGCACTTGTTTCCCATACATATTTACAAAACAAATTTTTAAAAAATTGCTTAAATTATCAAAAGTATCACAACTCATTTCTTGAAAGACATTTTCTGCTTTCATTTTTTCACCTGACATATTCAATCCTCACACTACCGAAAAATGAATTTGCTTCTTAGTGTTTAAACAAAACTAACCTTTCCAAGTGATCAATAATTTCTTGGTTATTAGAATGAACAGATACTTTTCAGACCTTTGGGCATCTAATGGCAACATAATGCTCTGGTTAGTGGCAAAGACAATGGGCATGTAAATCACTGCTCAGCCACTTACTGGCTATTAGACCTTGAATAAATTACTGAACCTGTGTTTGTTTCCCAGCTATAAAATGAGAATAATATTTAGGGTTCTCAGGACTAAGAGATTACATATACAAAGCATTTAGGAGAGTGCCTACTAAACAGCAATCTATACAAGTGTTACTGAAACTTGCTTTCTTATGTATCAAAGACACCACTCTCCCCTGAGTTTCTTCCTCCTTCTCTAGACCATCTCTGCTTCCTATTCATGCTACTTTCTTTCACTGACTCCTTCAACATGGTTCTCTTCTCTTCTATGCTTTGGCTCAAACCCATCTAAATTAGAGACCCTCTGGGCTTCAAACTCCCCAATCCATTTGCCTACCAGACACTACTATTTATACATCTCTGAAGACCTTTCAAATTTGTCCAAATTGAACTCCCTAAATGTTTCTCCCTAAATGTGTACCCCCTATTTTCTTCTCCTGGCTGGCTAGGAATTAGAAACAGAAGTTTCCTGAATTTCTCTTTGCCACTCTAGTCTAATTGCTCTCTAAGACCTGCTGATTCTGCTTCTTTATCCTGTCAAGTCTAAAGCAAATCATCTATATTCAAATTCCTGCTCTACTACATTTTATCAATACAATCTCAAGCAAATTGCTTAATCTTTCTGAAATACAGCATCTTTAATAACAGTACCTACTGTCATAGGTCTTTCTGATGATTAAATAATACATGTAAAGCACTTAAAACACTACCTAACGTACGGAAAAAAATGCAACGAATGTTAACTTTAGGTATTATTATTACTATCTTTTTTCAATCTCCTTTCCAGCATCCCCTCTGCCACTGGCCCAGATTATCATCAACTCTCATCTAAATTACTGTAATTGCCTCTTAACATCTTTCCACTAATCTTGCCTTCTCCAATATACCCTCTACCTAGAAGCAAAGTTTTTTGAACTCAAAGTAAATCATGTTTTTCTCCTGCTAAAACCTACCAAAAACTTCCCATAGTTTTTAGAGTAACATCCAAATTCCTCAATATGCACATAAGAACTGTTTTTTACACCAAAGGAAGGTACAGCACAGTCTGTTATCCCGCAAGTTGCAGCTCAACTTTCCTGATCTGTCAGAACCAAAAGCTCTCATACTCACATATCACAATGCTAATAACACACCTATTAATTTTAACTGGAGATCAGGTGATTGTCAGACCCCACAGAAATGTGATTACCTTTAGTTCAGGGACTACACTTCTTCATCTTTGTACCTCAGAAACTTACTCCAATGTTTCACGAATTTTCTCATTGTTTGCTAAATACTGAAAAACGTATTGAAATATTCAATCTCAAATGTTATGACAAAGACAAAAACCATACCTAAACCAGTTCTCATAAACTCAACATTTAAAAACTGCATTCCTTTTAGTAGGAAAAAGCATTCTGAGTTACAGAAATTCTTACCTGAATATATTTCTTGCTATAATTGTAACCTGGCTGTAGGGATCCGAAATCTACTTTACGTAATTTACTCAGCGGCTGAACTTCAGGCACCCCATTGACTTCCTTTATTAATTCAAGTGGCATATCAGTTCTTCTTCACACTGATGTCCAAAGCAAATTCAACTAGGGAATCTGACAACTTGCTGCTGAAGATACAAAACCAGTGTTTTATCCAAAATGCAGTCAATAATTTGCTTTAAGTCTCTTTGACTTAGTTATGCTTTTCCTTATTATGGTTAACACGGTTCAGGGTTGGGGGTGACAGGAGGATGGATTATTTTACGATTTTATTGCAAAGATCAATACAGGACATTCTTCCACGGAACTGAAACTTAACCATTTTCTACTAAGCTGCGTATTTAAAGTACCTCTAAAAAGCAAGTTTTAAAATCTGTAACAATGTCACTAACAGTAGGCTACGCCTTTAACATTGCGCTTTAAAATGTAAAAGTTATTGGGGAAGAGGGAAGCTGAAAAATCCTGGGTTTTTTTTTTTTAACCCCCACGGGAGCTGTAATATTGTATATGCAAATTGTGCACCAAAAGCTTCGTACTCCAAGATGTTTCTGTGGCCTCCTCCCTTCACTCCCTAAATAAACTAAAAAACAAAAATTACTGAACTGAGATAAACTTGTGCATCGTAGGCTCCACCTTATTTGCAGACCTCTTGACTGTGACACTCACTAGTGTCGATATCCTATTTTAACGTTTGCGCACCAACCTTCCCCCAAGCCACCTGAGCTCTGTGAGGGCGGGGACTTGGACTTAACTCTGCTCCTCCCAAAACACCAAGAAAGATGTTGAACACAGTAGGATCGAGATAAACACTCGTAAGAAAAAGTGTCTCTCTGCGACAATTACATCAAATTTGGATCTAAACTAATTCAATCCCGGGCCCCTTCCGTCTGGTACCCACTCAACGAACACACCAAACCTTACAAATTTTACTCACCCGCAGTTTAGAAAGAACCCTAGGAAGAGTTTAGACTGGCGCGCACGTGACGTCACTCGTACGTTGACGGTCCAGCTCCACGCATGCGTGCAGGATCCCTGGGCATAGCAGCTAGTTTTCCGCCCGCGGCGGCAAGCTCTGTAACGGTTCACACACTGACGGCGCCTGGAGGTTTGGCGAAATATTGACAGGATGCGGCGCCAACGGGAGCGTAGGGCCAAGGTACAGGCCCCGCCCAGTCCGGTCACATTTCCGGAATCACGCCGCTCCCCTTAGCTCCGCCCCCAGTCGCTTTCCAGCTTGCGTGGCGGGAGGCACGTTCAGGGCAAGTGGGCGGGTCCGCTGGGCAGGGTTTCAGCTTCCGTTTGGTAGATTGGAAGCTTATGCAGGCAGAGCCTTTCTTTTAATGTCCAGTTCTCTTCCCCGAAGAAGTAGGCACCTACTGCAGTCTTTATAAGGAAACATTTACAAGGATAACAGTGTTATTTGAGAGTTTCTATAGTAATTTCTGGCATTGGCATTAATGCCACCATTGAGTCTTGCTATTTACAGACAGATTTGTAACCTTGTCATTGTTTTATAGGGCTATGATATTGTGGTATAATTAATAGTTATAAATTATAGGTTTATTATAGTTTATTTAATATTTATTATAACTTATAGTTGATAAGTATTAACATTTATCATTTATAATGATAAATTGTTAAACTGAATCCTCTGCTAATTTCAGATATATGCCTTCAATCATTTAAGTGAAACCATCCTAGCGTGAAACTAAATGTAATAAAGAATTTACATTAATATTTCCAAGAGTAATTTGAACTAAAATATCTTCTTTATATACATATTTGTAGGAGGATATAGCTAACTTTTTTTTCTTTGATACGGAATCTTGCTCTGTCGCCAGGCTGGAGTGCAATGGCGCGATCTCAGCTAACTGCAACCTCTGCCTCCCGGGTTCAAACAATTCTCCTGCCTCAGCTTCCCGAGTAGCTGGGATTACAGGCGCAGGCCACCATGCCCGGCTAATTTTTGTATTTTTTTAGTAGAGACGGGTTTCACCATTTTGGCCAGGCTGGTCTCGAACTCATGACCTTGTGATCCGCCCACCTTGGCCTCCCAAAGTGCTGGGATTACAGACGTGAGCCAGCGGGCCCAGCCAGCTATGTTTAAAGTGCCTTTTTTATCAACAGGAAGCATTCAGTGTGAGCCCATCTCCCATTTCCCCTCCCCATCCCTGTAGTTATATCCCATGCAGAAGCCAGGGGTGACAAGAGCATGAACTCAGGAGTTGTCCATTTGAGGAAAACTGTAGGGAAAGTTTAGATGCTATCCTTCCAACTCTGGCTGCATCCACCTGTGAAATACTGTTCTTTCTTTCTATGTGAAGCCCTCCACATGGGCTTTGGACCCTGACCACTTTCATCTCCCTTCCATCATCATCAATATATTTTCTCTCAATGTATTTTAAGCTTTCCTTCTTTATTCATTCTTTCCTGTCACCATTTAAACACATTCTCCCAGGCTCTTGCTCTGTCGCCCGTGCTGGAGTGCAGTGGCAAGATGATAGCTCACTGCAGCCTGGAACTCCTGGGCTCAAGCAATCCTCTGGCCTCAGCCTTTTAAGTAGCTGGGACCACAGGCACAGGCCACCACACCCGGCCAATTTTTTAAAAAAAATTTGTGGAGACGAGTTCTCACTATGTTGCCCAGTTGGTCTCACACTCCTCTGTGAGTGTTAAATATTTGTTGAATGAACAAATGCTGAGGAAAACTGTTTATCTTACTTCTGACTTCCACCCCTCCACCTACCCCTGCCCAGCACCACCCCATTACACTTAAACTGCCCTTAGAAAAACCACTGAAGAACTCTTTGTTGCTAACCCAAAAGGACATTTTTAGTCTCATATTTTTGAAAACATTCTTTGTGCTACAACATGGTCCTAGTTTTCCTTTTACTTTCTACCAACTGAATCTTTTAAAATTTCTCATAATCTGTTTAGCCGATAAGTATCCCTGTTCTATAGAATGTGATGAAGATATCTAATAGAGGTATACTAAGTCCTTTTATTTTGTTAAAGTGGTTGTTCTCAGTTCCTGTGGGACACAACACTTCCTACACGTCCAAGTAACTTCCAATCTTATTTCTTCTGCATAATCTCCCAATTAGTGGCAGAGGCTCCAGAGCCTGTAATGCTTTACCTCACGTTAGTAATTAGTTTCCACAGATGAAGAAAATTGCTCATGAATATACAGTACAATTTAAGATAATAAGAGAGGAAAAAAAGAGATTGAATCAACTGAATAAGGCAATGAAGACATATTAATGCCAAAACAATCCATTACTGTTATTCTATGCCTGTTGAAGCAGCATAAAAAAGCTACTCTAAGGCTAACAATTAATGTAATTGTTATTAGAAGTCATGACCTTTAAAGGTGCAATGAAAAAAGTTTTTATATAAAATCTACAATGTGAAAATGTTCAATTTTAAGAAAAGTTAAAATTAAATTTTTGTTAATAAATAATGAAGACCAAAAGCGGAATGGGTAATTTTTTAAGTGATGTATAAATATAAGGATTCAGTACAGTTATTATAAATCAAAATGAAAGAAATTAATCTGCAAATTTCTGACACATCTTCCCTGTCATAACATTTTCATATTATCCTTTACTATTTACTTATTAACGTCTAAATGTAAAATTGAATTCCTAACATGTCCGGCGCTTCAAATTCATTTCCTTTGCATTAATTGTGGGGTGATTAACCCATTCCTATTTGCAGTTGATCTGTCCTGCAAGCCATTGTCATCAGGTTGCATTTCTAGAGCCTGACAGTATCATCTTCTTACTCCTGAGATTTTTCTAGCAATAATAGCTAGGCTACATTAGTTGGAGTTCATTTCCTTGTATCAAATAGTCTTTCTGCCCAATCCTAATGAACATCTAAGTGGATTTGTAAAGTCCTATTTCAATAAAGCATCAAATTTTTATATTGTTATGTAGCTGAACCAGGAGATAAATCAAACAAATTTTTCTCAAATGTATGTTTAAGTTCTAAATTTAAATGGTAAAGCATGTAATAATTCATTGCATATTAGGAAGAAAATAAAGATATTTTTAAAACATAATATTAGGTACTACAAATTGAGAAAACATTAGTGTCCATTGAAGAGGTCTCCCAAAAGCTTTTGTACTTTAATAATAAATCTTTTTAATTTATTATTTTAAAATATCCTAGGCCAGGCACAGTGGCTCACACCTGTAATCCCAGCACTTTGGGAGGCCAAGCCAAGCAGATCACGAGGTCAGGAGTTCGAGACCAGCCTGGCCAACATAGTAAAAACCTGTCTCTACTAAAAATACAAAAAATTAGCCGGGTGTGGTAGTAGGCACCTGTAATCCCAGCTACTCGGGGGGCTGAGGTCGCTTGAACCTGGGAGGTGGGGTTGCAGTGAGCTGAGATCACGCCATTGCACTCCAGCCCCAGCAACAGTGCGAGACTCCATCTCAAGAAAAAAGAAAAAAAATCCTCATCAGTTACAAAATTGTCTTTCCTTCAATTGCTACTCATTTTAAGAATTGTCCAAGAAAAGAATAAAATAACCTAGATTCAAATTTTAATTATAAACTATAAGTAGGTCAATATATTATAGTGTATTGAGTTGTATAAATGAATTACAAATATGAACTTTCTCTTGTTCAAAGACTATTAGAAATGTATGACTTCCCCAAAAATATACATGTTTCCTCATATACCTCATGTATAACATTTTCTCTTTCTATATATATATATTTTTTTTTTATTTTGAGACAGGGTCTCACTCTGTTGCCCTGGCTGGCATACAGTGGGAAGATCATACCTCTCACCGTATCCTCAATCTCCCAGACTCAAGTGATCCTCCCACTTCAGCTTCTTGAGTAGCTGGGGTTTTAGGCAGGCAACATTGTGCCCCACTAATTATTTTTAGCAGACGTGAAGTCTCACTATGCTGCCCAGGCTGGTCACAAACTCCGGGTTCAAGTGACCCTCCCACCTTGGCCTCCCAAAATGCTGGTATTACAGACGTGAGCCACCATTTCTGATAACATTTTTTTAATATGTTAGAAAAAAGGTATTATGTAAACTTAATGAATATTCAGAGAACACTTACCACGTACCTGAAATTGAGCAGGGCCATGTAACAATAAGTTAAACACAACCAGGCGTGGCCCTAGCTGATTTGGATCTTGCAGTGGAGACAGAATCTCTTTTCAAAATTCAGATAAACTGATGCAAAATTTTGATTATGATGTGAGATACAAAGAATAGTCATGGTACTAGGAAAGTATGTAATGGAAGAAACTGACCTAGATAGAAAAGTCACATTAGACCTTCCTGAGAAGTAAGAATTAAGCAGAGATGAAAATACAGCAATAAAATAAAGGCAAATTTTAGTTCTCTGTAGTACATTTCAGTCATAAAAACATATGGCTTCAAGCATAAAAAACTGTGGGCTAATCAATATATACATATTTTTTCTTATTCTTAAATACTCTCTAAACCCTGTTGCAGCCTTAATTTTGGTCTTCAGATCAAATTCATCACTTCTTTTGTTATCCCTAGGCTGTAGACTGCCACGGATATAGCCCTCATATAGGCAATGATTTTATGTGATCATGCTCAGATATTAGACACAAAAAAATACTCAGAGTGTGACTCTGGTGAAACTGGCTCATGTTAAACAAACTCACATTGATATTTTTAAAAACCTGGTAATACAAATGTATTAAATTCCAACCAAATGTTTTAAATTATTAGCTATATATCTGGAATATGGCATTATCTTCATATCAGTACTTATGAGGAACCAAATGATAAACACTTGGCTGTTGAGAAAGCATGGAATTTCGACACACACAATGTTTCATATGATCCTACAACCTAACATAATCAAGTCATGTGAGTTTGGTGTCATAGTCTACTGAAGAAATACATGTGGATGTTCACATTTGTGGTCAGGGCACCATCTCCCCTGAATGTTTGCCTCTCAAATGGTCTCTTTCCTAGGCATGTAATTAACCTTCTTCAGATGTGTCCTGTTTTCTTCTTTATTTTCTTTCTGTGCCTTGATTTGGATTAGAAATAAATTACAGCTATGGCTCCGGTAATATTTACAAGTGTTCGGCTATGCCATGTTCTTTCCCTTAGTTTTCTAACCCAATTTGTAAAATTCAAGACTCT